CCACAATTACTGACGCGTACCAACTTACGTCATCCTATATCTTGATCTGACCTTTCCAAGGCTTGCATTCCATGATGCAACTCCTTGACTATACTTATATGTAGTTTGTTAAAATGAAATTCTAAATGAATTCCTCTTATTCCCGAACTTTTTGTCGGATACTTTTCACAATAGAGAGAAAACGTCCCCGAGTGCGTCAGTGACGATACGAGGAAAGGACGTCTCGTCGATTCGGCGCGAAGTCGTTTCTTCCTGACGAACTCGTAAAAGCGAGACCGAGGACCGTAAACTCGCCCCGGGGAAGGTCGGACAGAATTACTGAATATTCACGAATTTGCCGACCTACACGCCGTGCTACACCGAGGATGGTTCCCGCGTGTGCGCGCGTGTCTTACATATTCCGTATCCTGTACATAGGTGGGCCTCTCTCGACGCTTCTGTTGCGAGCGAAACTGAACTTTGCAGAGAGCGTTAGAGCTCTCGGGGATACCAAGTCTAAGAGAAATAGCTAGTTTCGAATTTAATCGTTTTCCTCATTCATATATTAGCTTGGTTTCATGCCATCTTAGTGAACTCCTCATCGTGTTACGGAAGATTGGCGGATTAATGTCCTGCCATTCGGTTGCGGTGCTAAGGAGTTTCTGAGTAACGTATATATATTATTAGGTGTTGGAATTAATTCGTAGCGTTTTACAAGTGATGGGAAGTACTTTCATTAATGTATTTTTTAATGCTCATGTGAAATAAATAACATTCTTTCATTAAAAAACGCTACGAATTAATTCCAACACCTAATATATACATATATATATATATATATATATATATATAGCGACGATATTGATATGCGACGGATGAAAATAAGCATCTAAGTAATTATTATTCGGAAAAAAATACTAAAATTTCCATAGATTTATATTTAAAAACTGAGAGACAGAGAGAGAGAGGCTGTTTTATTTTTGGAGAAAAAATTGCAAATCAATATTCTGAAATTCAATCATTTTTGTATAATTTATTTAACAAAAATGAATAAATGAGATAAAATATTTTTAATTTGAAAATCGAGAAATGCATATATATTTTTAAAAAATCGCTGTTACATTCAAGATTAAAGAAAGAATTCATTAGAGGGATGAAAAAAATTCCTGAAAACTCCTCTCAGATTAAAAAAATTTATAATTCTACAAGATTCAACGCTTTTGGAGAAAAGATATCAAGCGAATATTTTTTTCTCAAAAAACAGAATTAGGAAATAATATGGATGTAAAGAAATTATGCAATATGTAATAAAATTTAGATAATTAGAATTTCTCGGAAGCGCGATCTGCATATATCAGCTCGCTCGTCATTCATGCGCATCAAGATGGCACGTCCGACATTTATTCAGACTGAACTGTTTTTCATCCTCTCTTAGACTCGAGCTGGTATCTATCTCGCATCCATTATCATTCCCGTCTAGGCTCGCTAATTAATCACAGAAAGGAAATAAGATTTACCAACAGTCGTAGTGGAAAAATAATTATCTCGGCCACATTATCTCACACGCCAACTTTATCACAAACCACCCTTTGCTTATCATATTATCTATGCACGTAACATCCGTAAGCACTGTTTATCGGCATTACATCCTTCTCTTTTAGTCCCTTTTAAAACATGTCTTATATTCCCAATTACAAAAAGATAAAAATATCAGTAAAATATAGAATTATATTGTAAAAGACTTAATCGTCATCTAATTCTTGGTTTTTAACAATAATAAGTTAAACTAAAGATTTATTTATACAAATAAATAAATCTTAAGTAAAAAAAGTGTCAATATGCAGTCGAGTCTAATATCTATCGACTAAATCTTATTGTTAGTACTTAATGATATTTCTATATTATATTAGGTGTTGGAATTAATTCGTAGCGTTTTTTAATGAAAGAATGTTATTTATTTCACATGAGCATTAAAAAATACATTAATGAAAGTACTTCCCATCACTTGTAAAACGCTACGAATTAATTCCAACACCTAATAAATATATATATCTATATTTAAATATAGTTTTCAGTACTTCAAATTATAATAAGTTTTTTCATTGTTTTAAGATATTTGTTAGATATTCATTATTATAAATTGACGATTAATATTCAATTTATAATATTACTATTTCCAGCTTTAATTCAGGATTACGTTTTTAACATCGATTGTATTTAGCATGCAATTTGATGTAAGAAATATATTTAAATATTCATATAGAAATATTATTAAGCACCAAAATGCTATCTTTAAATCTAACTTCGAAGCGCCGCATATTGCCTTTTTTAATTAATTGATTCTTGATTGATTTTTATTTTATTTCTCTATAAGAACATCTTTCGCAAAGTGGAATATAAACCATTGACAAACAACGAAATTAACATCATATGTTTATTGATGATTCGCAGAAGTGGCAATATATTATCACTCTGTTTTATTAGTCGCGAATGAGGTCAGGCGGGTTGCAGATCAGGACCATCGAGAGATAACGCGCGTAGGTACGATATATAAACGCGAAATACAAATTACTGTTACCCCCATGGTCACTTTTTGTGCGTTCATTTATGTGCAAGAGATCCGAACAATTCGTTGTCGGCTCTGCGCTTCGAGGTTGGTATGGATTGGCTTCACGTCGCCAATAACGAACTGCAGCATTGCCAGTTCCGTGTTTCGCATTTTACCTCGTCGTCCTGTCTCGTCGTCGGCTTGTCGACGTCCCTTTCTCTAGATCTTGTTTGCTTTAAACTTGCAAGCGTCGATAATCGAGTTGCAAGCTCGTTCATTGTTAACGTATTATTCTTCGCGCGCTGATGAAACGGAAACAAACGGACGACGATGGAACGACACTCGGATGTCACAGTTCGATTAATACGCGTTAAATGGATGACGATCAACGGAAGCAGAGGGTTATAAAATAGGGTTACGCATTGAGAGGTGCAGCAAAATATCCACACGCGTAAAAGTGTAATTGATAATATTTGTTAATGGAGAAAAAAAGAGAGGTCAATGATTCTTTCTCTCTATAGAAACCAAAATATAAAATTGCTACATTTTCGTAGTTATAAAATATTTCATGGTATTTTCACAACTCGTATAAATTTTTGGCAACGAATGTTTGGTTTATTAACATTGAACGATCAAAGCAAAATTATTGCATAAAACATTATTTCTCTAGCAAAGATCGTAAAATTGATTATTAAACTTTCATAGATACCTATAAATTGAAAGTGACGTTGCTGGCATTTGTATTTGATTGCGATCTTAATCAAGTTATTAATATATGATTATAAATCGATCGAAACAATGGACTGCGCTCTGATTATTTCATGACGATCGAAGAATGAATTTTCGGGCGGAACTTGAATAACATTACTAACGGTTTATCGCCGCTTAACGGCCATGTGCATAATAAGCGGAAGTGAATCGTAGTGTTGTATCGTACGTATTACGTGGAACATATGACACGTGGATTTTATAATAATAAAATCGGTTACTTCACGAGTACTGTAACATCAGTATATCGCCCACGGTATGCGTAAGTCATAAAATAACGGACGGTGAACACGCGTGATTAATTTCTCCCACGGCGACAGAAATCGTCTAAAGCGGAAATGCATTTAGGAGCAATTTATCGCCGAATATATACGTGACACGTACTTACATAAACGTGACAAACGCGCTATTTGCATTCCACCCGTTTTCGTTCCCGTAAATTCTGTCGACGCCTGTGATAATTTATAAATTCGCGGAAATAACTTATTTTAACTGACAGCGCGCTCGTCAAAATTGTAACAGCGATGTAATTAAATTTATCGCGACATTTATTAATTTGTAAATGCGGATTGTAAATAGTACCGTAATAATATAGTTTATAAAAATATTGAAAAAATTCAGTCAAGCTTCATTTAATGTAAAAGTGCATCGTTTATGTTTCTCAAAGGAAGTTTGATGATTTTCTTCAAAATTGATATATAATAATACATATCTAAAGAACCTCGTACTAATTACATAGAAAACTGAGTCCTGATGAAATGAGTTTTCACATGTTGTAGCTTTGTGATGAACAAAATATGTTATACAAGGCTCAAATAGACAGTTTTTCAGTTACAGTGTAACAAAAATGTGAAACTTGCTTACAGTGCTTTGGTACACTATAATTTAAAAAATGATTATATATTATTATTTGAGCCATGTTTATATGACATTGTTTATTACTACATTATAAGCTACAACATATGTCAAAATTAATTCGTTACAGGACTTCCATATAATTAGTATGGGATCTTTTATGAAAATGTATGTTTCTCTTGGTTCATCTGTTATAATTTAAAACAAAAACTAAAAATATTAATTTAATTAATGCTAATTACTTAATTTATGTTAGTTTAATTCGCTTACGGCAACAAATTATTCAAAATCTCTATTCAAACAGTTGAAAGATATACACTGGTCACACACAAGTTGCAAATTCAATCAGTGAAAATAAATTGTCAACTTAATTATTCTAATTCATTATTCTAATACATACGTTTAATTCCGAATCTTCTAGAGACATAATTTTTTATTACATCTTGATTAAATAATACGATAATATCTTTTGATATCTGGAAGGAAGAAAGACAGATCGCAATTGCATTAATAATCGTGCATCAAACGTAGACACCCGGCGTCGAAAATGTCAAAGTAGTTTCTTATTCATCGCAAACATCGAAATTAACATTGCTCCGCTCTTAACAAAGTTGGCCAAGATACGATCGATGAACGTCATCAAGCGAAACGATACGCTCGGCCGGTCGCGAGCGCGACGCTGCTGCTCGATCTTGAGATGCAAAGCTGGAACACGTTGAGCGACCCCGAAAGTTCGCTCGCTGGAAACGGACGATAAAGCGGCGTGGGTGATCGTTACAGCGAGCGGCAGTGACGGGCCTGATAATACTGCCCTCTCAAGTAAATGATCGAACCAACGCGATTGTTTCAGGCATGCTATGTGTCAGAGCATCGGAAACGGAGGTCCGTGTAGAAGATGACGGGGTTAAGTAGATAAAGGGAGCAGGCCTGGCTGCCATCAACGACGGACGATTCCTCGGCTCTTCTCTTTCTCACCGCAGCGCACAATGCTCTGCCACCGCGCTCTTGTCATTCTCATCGCTGTCAACGTGCCAATCGGTAAGTGATTTCGATTCTGTGACCTTAGATTCCCCTCCCTTCCTCAATTCTTTCGAAATGATTTGAAGAAATTTTTGAAAAAATTAATACAATGTTCAGAAATTTCTTCTAAAAATATATAAGACATTCCACTCTCATTTCAAATTGTAAATTTATGTTACTGCTTTATGTATGAAATTACAACAAAATTAGTGAAAGATATTCAATGTGTATTATAGATGTTTTATAAATGTTACATGGAAGATTTTATCTTTTGAATTTAGAATCGTAAATAATATTTTCAAAGAATTGGAAAAAGTAATTGTCGTGTAAAAACGTGTTTTTATTCTTCACATTTTAAATTGCGTCTCCATATTTCAAAAGTACACAATTAAAAAATTTAAGTTTTTCAGAAAAGAGATAAAGCTATTTTTCAATTCAACAGAAAATTATTGACTAATGAATTAATATTGGTAAAAAAAATATACGCTTAGGAATGAACTCTTGGAAACAAATGTCATTTTTGTTATTTTTACAGCCCTTAAAAAATCATCCTTTTTGAGTTGATGATTTTGATATCCTATAAAATTATAAAAAAATGAATTTGGAATACTTTCTCAAAAGTAAAGGACATAACTCGAAATATCATCAACAGTTTACCTTGATCAATTAAAATAATTCAATTCAATATGAAACAATTTCTTCTTTAAACTTCGATCACCAAAACTATTTTAACTCTAAATGTTCTGTGTAGGAAATCCTTTTTTTTTACTTAGAAAAATAATATAACTCATGTATTACTCAAATGTATTACTCTTGAAAAAGGTATTATGATCTTTGTTTGAAAACCTTAAGAACGATACATGTGCTATTTGATCAACAAACTGTTTTGAAGTTAAGTTAATTTACTTTTAATGATTGGATAATCTTCATCTAATCCGTGGTAATAAGTCGAAAATCATATTCTTTTAATTGTGTTACTTTTAAAGTAAAGAAACGAAATTATTTATCCGCAACCAAATATATAGAAATAACTTTTAACAAGAAATATCTCTTCGTTCGTCAATCGCATTAATCGAGTATTCGATGCAACTAAGTAAATTGAAGCACGTGTACGATTTGAGCAGCAAGCTTCTGTTACATATATCATTCCCGGTCCATTACATCGGATACGCTTATTGCGATTGACGCAGAAGTCGATACATTGCGAAAGGTGTCCAATACGAAATCTGTTGTGCTCGACAACGAGCAATAACGCAGATGCAACGAGGGCACGATGCCAACGATGTTCTATATACGCAGTCCGCAAAATAAATAAAGTGTAGTTCGAGTGCCACTTCACTGCGGAAGCGCGACGCCATCCACCGTCGAGCTGTCAGATTCTTGCCCGAATGTTTATCCGATAGCAGTAAATAGAGAGGAAGCGATTGCGTTTTTGCAAATATTTCATCTTGCTGCGTTACGATTTATTACACACGGGACTATTCTATTTCGGCATACGACACCTAAATATATGTTGTCAAGTTTATCAAATTTCTTGATAATCCTTCTTTTATAACATAAACAAATAAGATTCTTAGATAATTAATAGAAATAATATAATACTCTTTGTGTGTAAAAAGAAACAAGTTTTTTGGGGAAGAAATTTTACATCTACCGATCAGCACACAATTTTTTAAAAATGTTTTTTTAAATATTTATTTAATATAAAGATCTGGTAAAAAAATATTGTATGTTAATTGAGTTATTTGTTGTATTTAAAGATTATTAAGTTTTCTCGAGTTAATTTGAAAATAGTTTCCAACATTTTCAACAATTTTTAAAAATTAATTTTTTACTTGTTTTTATACTACTTTATATGCTCATATTTTTATTATAATTAAACTTGTGTCTGATTCGATTCTGGGTAAAGATATTCTAAAATAAATACCTGTTCTCTTTAAGAATCGTGATAAAAGCTTAATAGCTTGTGCACCGCCGAGTAATTGCTCTTTCCTTTTTCGTGATTGATGTACCGATTAGCTGCTCGAACAATCGACTCGACGCAATAAATTCGATTTAACCTCAGCCGTACTCGATCTTGACGTATAATTCTGCCAATAGGTATCGTATACTAGACTGTGCATCGATTATCCAACTATTGAGCATCCAACAATTGAAACATGATTAAGATACAAAATGCAACTTACGTAAAGTAATTCAAAATAGTTGCATAAATCATAATAATGTAAACAAATTATCTATTGAATATTCATTATACGAATAAGCGTGTGTCATATTCTTAAATATCAAACAAAGATTGAGATTTATATTTGTTACACAACAGTGTACACAATTCATTTAATTCATTTAAAATTTACTTAATGCTCGAATAATGATTGCTGCTTTTAATGTTTTAAGCATGAGAGACGAGAAACGAGAGCATACGGTATATAATAATAATACATTTATAGTATAATAATTAATAATAAAAATTAATATTTAAATTCCTTTCTATTAATTCAATTTTTTTCGTAAAGTATTTTCTGATAAAACAAAAATATTTTTTCAATCTATTAGAATATCAATTAAATTATAACATAAATAAAAAAAAACAGGCACTGCCGAATTTCACTTATTTATTACTGATCCTAAATGCATCGCGTGAAATAACTGAAAACGATCTGTAAATCGCTTGAAAGAGCATATTCAAGTAAAATGTGCACGAGTTGCACGAATGTGAGTAATTGAAGTCCGAGTTTATTCGCAATTAACATGAGCTAGTCGAGAAATAATAAACGAACGTTCATTGCGAAGTCCGAACCGAGCGATGACAACATCTGGCGCAGATACCATGATACTAAATATACTACGTATATCATACAAACGCACGGTATATCTCGAATGTTGCCAGCACCCAAAGTGCGTCAGAAACGCCGCGAGCCTGGTCGCTGTCACTGATGTTTATTGGCACAGAGAGTATCCACCACACATACTGAAATTAATGATAGCTTGTTTAGATTATAGTCCACGGACATAGTTGGCCTCCGGCAATCTTCCCATGTCACTTAACTCTATATTAAACTTTCGAGATACAAGGATGTGCGGAAGTCAATAATTAAATAATTGAAAATATAGAATTTTTGTGCGAGGATAATTCGGGCATCACACGTTGAAAGTTTGCGTGTTATGTTTTAGAAATAATTTATAGATTAGAATAAATAAATAGTTGAAATGAAAACACTCTAAATGTTTCGTAATCGTTTCTCTTCGCTGAGATACGATAAATTTAAGACAAATTTACGTAAAGGATATTTTCTTCGTATATTAATATCAACAATATCGATATCGCCATTACCTCGATATTAAACGTCAACGATTTTTCTGCAATAATATGAAGAAAAAAATCAAGAGGATAGACTCGTGTCGATGCGGAGATAGAGTCGCGCAATTTGCGATCGACGGGATACACGTCCTATAATCCGTCCTGTGCAACGCCGACGACGTCCGATGCAGATGCAATGGAGGATCGGTGCCAAATACGTTATACGGGCCACGGGAAATGGGCACGTAGATCGCAGATATGGCGCGTCCTCCAGTACTGCGGCATGGATCGCTCCAGTCTGGTCAACTTCTGGCCCTGATGTTTATTCGGCGCGAGTGGAAACGCCGACTGCGCTTGTCGTTCGAATTAATTTACCGCTTGCGGGCCTCCGGTCTCTTCACAGATATAGATAGATAGAGAGAGAGAGAGAGAGAGAGAGATAGATGGATGGAGAGAAAGAGAGAGAAAAGAAGAGAGAAATGAGAGATAACAAGAGAGACAGGTAGAGTCTCGACGGTATCGTTCAATCTCGTTAGATACGAATATAAGATGTATATATTTGTAGCGCACTTTTTAATCAAATAAAGAAGTTTCGTTTAAAAATTTGTAGACACGCGTCTATTTCTAGTCCTAGCTATTTTAAACGGCGCGACTTATACCTTCAGATAAATTCGTACATGGGAACATTTGTAACCAATTATATCTATTTAAATTAATTTAAATAGATATAAACCATTTATGTCTATTTAAGTGAATTTTGTATGAATAATTTCATTTGGTGTCTACACAAAAAAAAGTTCTATTTTATATATTTTTCTAGAATAGATCTTTTTATCTATTCAAGCTCACTCTTTACAGATATCGTCTTTTTCTCTTTAGACAGACGTTGAAAAATTGAAGCGCATTGTCGAAAATTACTATCAAATTGACCGTGCAATGTCGTAAGACGATATCTTTGTCAACCGCAAGGAATACCACCTCACGTCCACGCTATAAAGAAACCGGAGTGCCTTATCCACCGGTAACCAGTAAGACGCTACAAGTCGAGCGTTTCCAGATGCATCATGAAAAATGCACCACCCAAACGTGTCTGGGACCGACGCAAGATTGGCGGGGGGGACTCCGGTGGAGATTTGACTCGATGAATCGAGTGAACGGCTACTAGCCGAGTGAAAGAAAGAAAAAAGAAAAAAAAAGGAGAAAACGACGGAGGTTTTATCCGTCGGTGACCGGATAAGATTGTTTGTCTATACAGCGGATCAACGGTGAGATTCACCGATTGTTCCACAAGGCACTGCCAGCATCGCTTTTCCATCCCCTGGCGTTCCTTATCGGGCAAACAACGACCTTTCCGGCCAAATTGGTCTGACTCGGAACCGAGTAAAACGTGATTAATCGTTCGCCTCCTTTCGCGGGAATGTATCTACCTCGCCAACTCTCCAGTGGTTATATAGCGATAAACGGATAACCGCGGTCTAGACCCAATTGAGTCTCGATATAGGATAGATGCGCCGCGCGCATCGCTTTCGATCTTGCAGGAAAAAAAGTAATGCGAAAGACAGAAACAGAAGGAGACAGCGTGGGAGAAAGATACGTTCGTTAGGTGTTAGTTCGTTAAACCGATTTCTTTTTTCCATCACTTCTCTCTCGTTTTCATTATAATCTCCAAACTTGCTTGTATTTCTGACTGTAATAAGTTAATCACATAGAACTAATA